TAAATAAGATGATCTGATAATGTTATCAGCTCTCATGATTTTATCGCAAGACTCATAATGTTTGGTGTTTGCCTTAAAGCCCCAGCTGCTGGAACCAAGAGATTGCATGAGAACATCAGTCTTCATTTAAATTAAATTTCTAGCCCACTTGGTTGCAGAGAAAAGCTTGAAAATGTAGAGGCCATGTGACTTAAATGCTCAAACAGAAGTCAAATAAAAAGGAACTTCAAATGAATTATATTTTTAAATCTCTTTGCTTGTAGGCCACTTCTTATTTTTGGGGTCCAACTAATGATTTTTGATCACGAGTTTGGCAATAGTGATGATATATAAAAAAATTATACATACTTGGTATTTTTCTCCCCACCCTTCATATGTCACTTGTTGTATTAGACTGTAAATTCACTGAGGCAAGGACTCAGTCTGGAAAGGAAAGAATCATATTCTATATTCTCATACCCTCTTCATGTTTGCTGGCAGAATTGGAAAAGCTTTGCTGGCAAGGGATTGATATTAGTTTACTTCGATCTGCAAATTTCAGTAGAAACGGTCTCAAATAAATTGGGATGTAGTTCATAGAAAAAGTTTGATGTAAATTCACAGGATGTGTAAATCTATTGCAGGATTATGAAAAATGTCTACATACTGCTAATATTTTAAGTATGGAAGTGTAATATGCTTTTTAATCTCTGCAGACTTTTTTCACATCATGGCTTAATGTCTCAGTTCAGGCAATAACTTAAACGCAAACTATTTTTTCGTTTTGTATCACCGTAAAATGATTCTAAGGGGGAGTAACACTAATAACTTTGTAGTAAGAAGTGTGTACCCAGACCACATAGAATGCATAATTTTAGGCTTCATCTGTAAATTGATTTGTTATTTGCAGTCCTGTGTGATACATGGATTTTGCCAGTTGAGTTGGGTGAAACAGGAAAGGTGTTCTGGTCTGGGTGGTTAAATATTTTGAAAAAAATAGCTGTTAAGATTGAACACAAAAGTTAACTATTCCAAATTACTGGTTGGAATAGGTAACTTATAGCAGCATAGGGTTGCCAGGCGTCCGGTTTTTTACTGGAACTCCCGGTCGAAAAGGGACCCTGGCGGCTCTGGTTGGCACCGCCAACCAGGCCGTTAAAGTCCAGTTGATGGTGCAGCAGGGGCACAGGGCTAAGGCAGGCTCTCTGCCTGCCCTAGTTCCGTGTGGCTCCCAGAAGCAGCTGCCAGGTCCCTGCAGCCCCTAGACGCATGGGTGGCCAGGGAGGCTCTGTGTGCTGCCCCCGCCCCGAGGGCCGGCTTTGCAACTTCATATTGGCCAGGAACAGCAACCAATGGGAGCTGCGGGGGCGGCGCCTGTGGGCGCGAGGGCAGCACGTGGAGCCTCCCTGGCCGCCCTTGCATCTAGGGGCTGCAGGGACCTGGTGGTCACTTCCCAGTAGCTGTGGTAAGCACCGCCAGGACCCCGCACCCCAAACCCTCTCCTGCACCCAAACCCCCTGCCCCAGCCCAGAGTCCCCTCCCGCACCCAAACTTCTTCCCAGAGCCCGCACCTCCTTCCCCCAACACCTTGTTAATCAACTTTTTGGAATCTTATAGTTTTTCATTTAATATTAATATTTTGTGTATAATAGAGAATACTTCTTTTTCTTATGTTCCTTTGTGATATTTCATGTAATAGATTATTTCCTGGAGCTATATCAAGCCATCAGTTTTTTTTTAAGCAGACCTCTTTCCTGAGGTCAGTAGAAAGTTCTGCTTAATCAAGAAGGCATGCTGTGGCTCAGTACATTATATATCTTACTATTCTTATTTGTATGTTCCATTTTTGTTATATAAAATTGTAAGTTGTTTGTATACAACTAAAAGAAATCTAATTATAAATATTTAGAGGTTTGGCAGAATACTGATCATAGTCAGAAAAATGTGGGATTTTTTGTTTTGTTTTGTTTTTTTACAAAATATGCCTAGTTTAGAGTTTTGTGGTTGGGGGACTAGTCAGGACACCATAAGGAGAAGGAAAATCTGGGGAGCAGAGGAGAGTGAGGACATGCATGGGGATGGCAGTGGCAGCAGAAGGCTGAGAATAGCTGAATTGGGGTATAGAGTGTGAGACTAGGAGAAGGCATGGTTGGAGTTTGAGGGCTTGTCTACGTGAGCAAATTTACCAACATAATTCTGGTAAATTATACTGCTATAGTTACACCAGTATAACTCCCCACATGGACACTCCCATTCTGGAATAAGAGCGCCTTTGTCTAGTTTACCGTATACCATTTCCAAAGTGACATAAAAGCAAATTATATAATTAGGATGGTAAATTTCCCGGTGTAGACCAGCCCTGACAGGGGCACAGAGAAGAAAGGTGCAGCAGGAGATCGAGGAGGCGTAGGATTCAAGAGCATATTTAGTGGAGAGGGGGCAATGTGGGAGCAGGAGAAGATGAGGGGAGGGGAAAATTGGGTGTCCATTTACCACAGGGTCCAGAGAAGAGACTGGAGAGGAGAATGTGGGGTGCAAGGGGGAGGCTGAGGTGGTTCAGAGGCACATAAGAGGCGGAAGAAGACTCAATGAGATGGGAAAATGAAAAGGTTCAGGAAGAGACTAATAAGGTTGCAGAGGAAGAGAAGGTAACGGTGGGGAAAATATAAAGGGGGGAAAAGGAGGGAAGTCAGTGGGATAGTGAAGGAAATGGGACAGGGGGAGAGACCAGGGTGGTGATCCAGCAGAGGACCAGAGAGGATAGAATGGCAGCTTCTTCACCTCAGGGGTTAGGAGATGGCCCAGAGTGGAAATTCATACACATGTTTGTGCGATGACAGGTTTCAGAGTAGTAGCCATGTTAGTCTGTATCAGCAAAAACAACAGGGAGTCCTTGTCAACTGTTGAGAATAGGCCACTTCCACCTTAGCACTGATCCCCCACTTGGTAAGGCAACGCCCATCTTTTCATGTGCTATAATATACATTTTGCTTATTGTATTTTTCACTCCATGCGTCTGATGAAGTGGGTTTTAGCCCACGAAAGCTTATGCCCAAATAAATTTCTTAGTCTCTAAGGTGCCACAAGGACTCCATGTTGTTTGTGTTTGTGTGTGTTTCAGGTTAAATTTTGGACCTGAAATGCTCTCACCCTTTGCTTGTGGGAAGCTTCCCCTTAAAAGGGCAAAAAGTAGATGGCAAACTTTTTTAAAAGAATGTATTTGGCTTAAAAATGGTAGGATTTTTTTAATCTCCCACATTTGAGGACCCTAACTCATGACGCTTTTAATGCTGCTTGGCAGTATGGCAGTAACATTATTTTAACAAGTCTGTTCCTTTAGCTGCTTAGTTTTTCCTTTAATTAGGTTCTGTAATACATACAAATATGCAAATAATGTGGACTAAAATAGTCCCCTGAAAATATGTAGTGAAATGGTTCTTCACACACACTTGGGGAAACTGCTGGGAATTTTTATTTATTTATTTATTTTGGCCAAATAATTTTTTCAGAAAAACCATGAAACTTTATAGCCTGTAAAGTCCAAATGTAAGTCTTTATCTGTAAATTATCATACTAACCTACACCATCCTGTAGTTGTTTAAGCTTTTCTGGTCTCTGCAGTGCTTCTGAGTGCATGTAGACCGTAGGAGTGCTATTTTATAAGCTCCAGTAATACAGTGGCCATTATATGGGTAAGGAGATTCAATGGAGACTATCTTGTCGAAGCAGCTACTTAAGTCTGAAGGGAGAAGTTTTGGCATGCAGTAATATGATTGGTGGCAGCCCTGAAGCTTAAGACCGAAGTGTGTTTCAGTTGCTTGCAGATACTAACATTCACAAGGATGGTAATAGCATTAAAGCTTGGGTGAATGCTACAAAAAATGAGCCGGTAACGGACTATCGAATAAAAACTATGTGCTTCGATGTTCTGCAACGTTTGCAAAGATGTCTGCAGCATGTGTGTGTCTTAGTCATGAAAATGTGTTTGCTGGAAGATTCACACCACAAATTACTTATTCAAACCCTCCTCTTAATAAAAGATTTACTCTTACAGCCAGGGAATGGAAACAATACCTTGGATGAAATCCTCACCCCAGGGAAGCCAATAGCAAAACTCCCATTGACTTCAGTGGGCCAGGATTTCACTCCATGTGAATAAGGTGAACAGCCACACAAGTGAATAGTAGAGCTGTTCCAGAATTTTCCTACGGAACGTTTTTCCATTGGAGAATGCTGTTTCATCAAAATCAAAATGTTGTGTGGAAATGTTGATTTCATTTCTTTCCCCCTGAGGTTTAAATTTTCTGTTTCAAGCTTTTTGTAATGGAGCATTTCAATTTTTCTGTTTCAGAATGACTCCATTGCAATTCTTTTCTGGGTTTTAATGTATCATATTTTTAAAAAATAGAAACATTTTGTTCCAATTTCAATTGATCTGGAATAATAACTTTTGGAATTTCAGTATTGGGGGCGGGGGGTTCAGAATTGTGGAATTTCCCACGGAACAGAAAATCCATTTCCGGCACAGCTCTAGTGAATATTCTTACTGCAGCTAACCTTTCTTCTGGATTCTTTAAGCTGATTGTCTACATAAAATGTTTGTGCAATAATTTTGATTAACAAAGTCGTGCCAAGAACAGTCAGTTTAAACTATATTGGAAACCAAAAAAAAGGGCTGAATTCATCTGGCAAAAAATAGGAGTTAATTCATCCAGCTCTGAAACATTAATGGTAATTATCAGGACACTAGTTGTTCAACTGTGTAGGACCCTGGGGGTGGGGAGTATGGAAGGGTTTGGCAAATACCTAGTAATAATACAAAGCCATCTGCACAAACAGGAAAACTGTTACATGTTTGTTCTGCACTGCTCCTGATTTTTACTTCCTGGTAAATCCTTTGGGAACTTTGTCATTTTGAATTAGTTTGTGTTTGCAAAAAAAAAAAAAGTTACTAATTAAACGTAGAACTTGAATTGAATTACCCTGAACTATTCAGAGAAAGAATCTTATGTTTTTTTCAGGAGACAGATGAGCAGAAACGTCACAAAATTGCTGATGAACTTTTGCATACAGAAAGAGCCTACGTCAGCCGACTTGACCTCTTAGACAAGGTGAATTTTGCTTGAAGTGCTTCATTCTTTTACTTACATATACTGCAGTTCATATGAGCTTTATCTGTTTGCAAAAACCACATTAAAGAATTGTGGGTTTTTTGCCTTCTGCTAATCCTCTCAACAAAGCAGTCATTTGCAACCACTACTTCATATATTTTTTTGTTTTTAAATAATTTTAATGTTTGCAAAACATACCTGTCCCTGATGGACATAGAAACTGAATCCTTGTGTTTACGTAGACCACAGTGTGAGCAATAGAAGTGCAAGCTTCCATACCAGTGGGAGAGCCTACAAGGAGGAGAGGCTAATTTCACCTCTCTGCTCATTCATTTCTTGGCCTTTGCTGAAATTGCCAACAAGGAAGCCAATGTATAGTGGTATGTGTTTGATGTAATCACCTGCGCACTAAGCCACTGAACAATGTCTCTGGTAGAACTTTGGTGTCTGCTGATGTTAGCCAGCTTTCAAACAGTGACCTAGAAGAGAAGCATCCCATCTTAAACCTTCTCTGCTCTATTCTTCCATCACGTGGTCTGCCTAATTCCTATTAAAGTGAATGGAAGTTACTCATATTCTGTGATGGAAAAATTGAGTGCTTGCACTTTTCATAGCTTCAAACTATATTTGTCATTTCTTAAATGTCAATCTGCAGTTCTCTACATCTTTCTTTGAGCCTGCCTACTTTCTCATATATACCCACTATACCTAGATATCTCTGATCATGCATTGCTTTGTCAACTAACCTTGTTCTTCATCTTCATTTCATGTTGATGTTTCCCTGGTCTAGCGCATGGGCTTGTAAATCAAGATCAGGTCTGAAAAGTCCTAATTGCTATATTAAACAGCTAGTAGTTGTCAGACTGCTTAGGCATATAAGTTTTGGTTCTCCTGAATATGAGGGAAATGATTTACATAGCTGTCTTACATGAAAGACAGCTATGTAAATAGACCTTTATTGCAAATAAGAGCATTGTTTTAGGGACACAAGAAATCACAGTAAGATATTCAGATTTACTTTTAGTCTCTTCTGACTGGCATTGTAGAAGTATTTTCACTATCCCAATTTTAGATGCATTTCTGCATTCAAGTTTTTCCAAAATATCAGGCAAAATTCTGAGAAAATTTTACAGGTAGCACCTAAAACTACCAGCATAATGAAAAGAAAGGAGAATGGTGGTGGAGGCTGAGCTTATTTCCCTAAATTTGGTTAAAATAATACTTGTCATGTTTATAATCCCTTCCATGCCTATGTTTCTATGATTCTGTAGGTGGTGGGTTTTTTTTAATTCTACTGCTGTAGTACCAAAAGGCACAGATTCAGAATCGGAGCCTGTTCTGCTAGATGTCTTAAAACACTTAAAACTCCTCAGTCCTCCAGCAGCACACCTTTTCACTCCTTGCATGCCCTCCACTAACTGATGGGAGGTCCTTTTTAAACCCGGTGTCCTGATTAGTCTGCCAGCCATAATTGATTCTAGTATGTTGAAGGCACAGCCCCTGTCTCCAAAGTGCTCATATCCTAAAAGGACAAGGGGATCCAATGTACAAGCAAAGTGCTCAGGGTGATGGTTGCAAAACGTCATGCTGAGCTCAGTGTGGGACAACAAGGGAGCATCATGGGGATGAATTAACAAGAGTATGGAAGTAGGAAGGGAAAGGGGATGTTGAGGGAGAGGCAAGAAAAAGAAGATAAGATGGAGGACTGGAAAGGAGGCCAGAGAGAAAGGCCAGTCAGCAGACAGAATGCCTGTAGTCCAAACTGAAAGAAAGCAAAGTATGATGACATCACTTGCACCCAATGTATTCTGGAAGTGTCTTACTCGCCAGGGTTTCACTGCTGCTTTGGCTCCTGGAGGTCACACTGGGGCGGGGAGTTCCACTGATATCTGAAGGAGGTGAGGGGAAGGGGGATGACGATACTTCAGTAATTTTGGATGCTCCCACAATTTAGCTATAAAAGTAAACATCTTGAAATATGTGGGGGAGGGAGGGGTGTTTGTCTGCTGTGTACCACTTAAAGATGACAGAAATGCACATTGGCCTGTTAACTTTTAAGTCCTTCTCCTCTATTGCAGGTATTCTATGGCAGACTATTGGAGGAAGCTTACAGGGGTTCATTTCCAGCTGAGGTGGTCAATAAAATATTTTCTAATATTTCATCGATCAATGCCTTCCACAGTAAATTCTTGCTTCCGGAGCTTGAGAAAAGAATGCAAGAATGGTAAGAATTGTTTTGAAAGATATTAAGCCTTTTAATAATGGGTCTGAGCTAGCATAGAAATTGTTACATGACTGAGACAGAGGGCACTTTACCATTAAAATGCTCCAAGGAAGTTCTGCTGCTGGGAAAAAGTGTCTGCTGCTTTACTATTCATCAGGGTTTCGTTTAATAGAGGAATTAAGCATGTCCTTAGCTTAAGCACATGGGTTGTTTCAGTGAAGTCAATGGGATTACTCGCATGTGAAAACTTTAGCTGAATGGGAGCGGTAGCCCTTTAAGATTACATGCTACCTGGTGAGTCTATTGCCTGAAATACAGGAATTGGTGCAAATGAATGTTTATACAGTTATTGTGCAATAACCTGATGATGCATTAATTTTTATCATTGCTTTCTATTCTATAATAAAGTAGAATTCCTTTTATTACATGTTTTAACTTTATCATTTAGTAATTAACACCTGGTTCTGGAGTATTTTTAGGATGGTGTTGTCATGGCATTTTTTCAAGGGAAAGTTGTGTGTAATGAGCATTTTGTACCGTGGATAAGCTTTTTATTTTCCATCTTTAGTGCAAATAACTAGAAGTGTGCCTGTGCTGTGAGAACACTACACATAGCAGTTGTCAGCACAAACTCAATTTATTTAATCCAATCTAATTCTTCAAAAAAGGTAACATTTCTCTCTGCCTTGAGAAAAGGTGACAACTCGTTAGCAAAAAGAAAGAATTAAAGTTTTCACCAGCAGTACCCTGATCTGATCCTATGTCATCTCAGTAAGCTGAGCTCCCACTCTGTTTCACCTGCCATGCAAACTGGGGTTTAATTTGGCAGCTCCCTAGGTTCTATTGCTTCTTGTCACATCCAGACATGCATTTACAAAGTACTCCAAATGCCTTTTTAGAAGAGTTAAGGAATTGTTGATTCCTGCGACATCCAAGAAAATCCTAAAATACCTGCTTGTCTCAGTCCAGGTAACAGTTGGAGGAAGAATAGGTGGGAACTGGGATAGAAGAGCCCTAAGGGTTGTGACAGGGTGCACAGGCCTCATCCCTGGATGGCAGATGAAATATTAATCCTCCTACCAGGGAAGGGTCATAACTGCCTGCAGGCAATGCAGACATGCTTGCAGCGTAGGGCATGCGTGCATGCGTGTTTTGTGTGTGTTACGTGCAAGGCAGGAAATAAGAAGCAGGGCCTGTTGCCCAAGGGGAGATGAGGGGCTGTGGAACCCCTGGTCGGTGGGGGAGGAGGGGTCTGCACAGCAGATTACAAAAGAGCTGTTGTCTGGGAAAGAACCACAGTGGGAATGACATCACTCACTGCCCAGTGGGAGCTGGGCAGAGCCCCAGAGTAAAGTTAGCGGGAAACACTGATAACAATGGCTACCTGGGAACCCTGATCTGGGGGCAAGTGGTTGAACAGACTTGGTTTATTAACAAACCTGAGAAGATTTTAGTTTCAAACACCAGTTGTATGGCATGAATTCCTCCAGGGGCACATGAGGAGGTAAATTGAGGCACAGAGCACCAGGTGTCCAGGCAGCGTAAGCTCCCACAGGGTTCAAAATAAAATGGTGGTTACCATGCACCAACACAGAGAGAACTAAACATTTTCTATAAAGCAAGGCAATATCATAATTAGATAACACCTAAGCAGCATAAAATAAAGTAATGCTTAACAATGCTTAATTTAATTTAATTTAAAATTGTATTTAAAACATTAAGCTTGCATTCCTTACTCCATTATAATAAAGTATTTAATATTGTATATGAGAAATTCATCTTTTTGTATTCATGAAATAAAAAAAAATGTGAACCCAAATATTAAATTGCTCAATTTGGGGGGAGAGGGAAGTATGATTTACTTCAGTAATTCTTTAAAATCTATTGTATACATAAACTACATTCTGCCTTAGAGAAAGTACAGTCTATCTCCTATACTTTGTGCTGTGCGTCATATTAGTAAAATACTGTGACAGGATCCCGGAGCACAACCTGGAACTGTGGGACCACTGTCCCCCCTTAATTCTCCAACCTGGGCTGTCTCTCACAAGGCTATGCCAGTGACAAACAGCAAACCCCTCCAGGCACTGGGATCACTTAGCCATCAGTATATGGAGCCCCACACCCAGCAAAATTGCACGAATGCTCCCAGAGCCACTCATGAATAAGGCTATGATTTAGTCACGGGTATTTTTAGTTAGTCACGTACAGGTCAGGAGCAATAAACAAAAAGTCACGGCCAGTGACCTGTCCATGACTTGTACTAAAAATAACCCTAACTAAATATTAGGTGCTGAGGAATGGGGGGGCGCTACAGCTGCTGCTGCTGGGGGGAAGGTGCTCTGGTGGTCGCCGCTCCTCTGGGCGGGGGAGCGGCCTGAGTGCCCCCTGCTACTGTTGCTGCTTCTCCGGGAGGGGGGGCAGCCTGGGGCCTCCCTGCTGCCGCTGCTGCTCCGGGCAGGGGTGGGGACGGCCTGGGGCCCTGCTGCTACTCCAAGGCAGTGCCCAGGACCCATTGCCTGGGGACGCCAGAGCAGCGGCTGGTGAAGCTGGCCCCGGGACCGCCCCAGTGGCTGCAGCTGCA